TTTTTTTTTTTTTTTTTTTGTAAACAGAAGTTAGTGGAAACGCCAAAAGGTCGATGGAAGCAGTAATGTTGAGAAAATCCTAACTGAAGACAGAAGTCTCAAGGACACAAACAACACTTCTACAGTTGCCGTGACAGAAACCAAAACTATTAGGGAAGAGGTTAGATTGCACTCAATCCTCCTTCCTTCTTCGATGATCTACAACAGTTAATAAAGAAGATAACTTGTAAAAAAATCAAGCTAAGCAGCCCATGGTTCTGTCTTATATCAAGAATCAGGTGTAGCACTATCACAAGAGCAGAGCAACACAAAGAAAACAGCTAATGAAGTGTCTGACGAGCAGATTCCAAGGGAAGTAGATATGGCTGAGAGCAGTAGAAAACCAGCTTCAACTGGCACTGAAATTGCTCCACTAGAGAAGCTAGATAAAGTGGCAAAAACCTTTACGAAAGGTAAAGTAAGAGATCTGAAACCTAGAAATGCCAAAGAGATTTATCCAGAAATAAAAAAAGAATTTGAACATGGAGGAGGAGAGAAAAAATCATGTATTTCATGTAAAACATACCATTTTCTTTTGCTGTATAAATTGACAAAACTAGAAATCAACTTGAATAATAAGACAAGATCAAAGAATTAGATTCCATAAATTAGAAAATATAAAATATAAAAAGGCAATTATGTTTAAATATATAACCTGAACTTAAAAGGAAAGCCAACCAATCATATTTCTTGTCATCAGGAAGTGATTTTAGCAAATAAAATTGCTCAAAATCACCATTTAATAACAATTGGATTGCCTTGAATATTTCTTGTTGAGAAAGACCCAAAACTATTGATACCACTTCATATATCTCTTGACCACTTGGTTTCTTTTTCAAGTTTATGTACTCCTTGAGTGATGAAGCAATGTCACCAACAATAGTAACCAATGGATCTTTCCTCCGTTTCTTTTGATGGGACTCTATCATAAATGATGTGGAAAGCTGTGTTGATTGGCCAATAGGTGATATTGAGTACTCTACATCATTTTCATCCTCTCCCACCATTGCTTCATCATTTTCAAATTCATGTTACCAAACAGACCATAAAATATTTTTATAAAAT